ACTAGTGGGGAATCTGGGCATCCCATCCAGGAGACTGGAACAACCAATCTCATTTGGCCAGTTAGATGGATCCATAGCAGGGGGGGGGTGCCAGCTACCCTAGCCACTCTACCAATACACCTCTCCCTGGGCAAACATGAGGAGGACATAACGTTTGTGGTGACCCCAGGCATGGAATGCCCAATGATTCTAGGGATGGAATGGTTGAAAAAATGGAACCCCTGGGTAAATTGGAGGACGACAGAAATCAAATTCCCGAAGGGGGACCCTATGGACTTAAAACCCCAAGAGAGGCTACCAGAATCAAGAATAGAAAAAGCATCCATAGGAGAGGAAAAAAGATTAACAGAAATACCAGAGGAATATAGGGACCTTGCTGAAGTCTTCAGTGAGGAGAGGGCGAATGAGCTTCCCCCCCACCGACCCACAGACTGTACCATTGAATTCAAGCCTGGGGCAAAACTCCGAAACCCAGATTATACTCCATGAGCCCAAAGGAGAAGGAGGAAATGGAAAGATTTATAAAAAAAAACCTGGAGAGAGGTTTCATTGAACCAGCTAAGCCTAAAGTGGCTGCCCCGGTCCTTTTTAGAGAGAAGAAGGATGGCTCTTTACGTTTATGCGTGGATTATAGGGCCCTGAACACAATCAGTGAAAGCAACCTATACCCGCTGCCCCTCATGAAAGACATGCTGTCACACCTATCGAAAGGGAAAAATTTTTCTAAACTAGACCTAAGGGAAGCTTACTATCGCGTGAGAATCAAGGAAGGGGACGAATGGAAGACTGCATTTAACTGCCCCAGGGGGTGCTATCAATTCAAAGTCTTGCCATTTGGATTACAAGGGGGCCCTGCAGTCTTTATGCAATTAATCAATGACGTTCTAAGGGAGCACCTGTTTAAGGGGGTCCTTGTTTACTTGGACGACATTCTTATCTTTACCGAAACAAAAGAAGAACACGTCAAACTTGTCAGAGCGGTTTTAAAGAAGCTGCGAGCCGCTCACCTATATGCCAAACTCTCAAAATGCGAATTCCACCAGGAAAGGATAGACTACCTAGGCTATCGCATATCCCCACAGGGCATTGAAATGGACCCAGAGAAGGTCAGAGCAGTATTAGAATGGGCACCACCCCGCACAAGAAAGCAACTACAAAGTTTCCTGGGCTTTGCAAATTTTTACCGCCAATTCATCCCCTCATTTGCACAGATAGCCTTGCCCCTCACTAACTTACTAAAAACGAAGGGAACATCCTCAGTAAAACCTAGCCAGCCACTAACATGGACAATGGAGTGCCAAGCAGCGTTTGAGAGACTAAAGAGACTTTTTTCTGCCGAACCAGTACTAAGGCACCCAGACATGGACAAACCCTTCATAATACAGGCAGATGCAAGTGATGTGGCAGTGGGGGCTGTGCTATTACAAGAAAATGATGATGCAGTATTGCAACCCTGTGCATATACATCTAAGAAACTCACGGAAACAGAACAGCGCTGGCCCGTATGGGAGAAGGAGGCTTATGGGATACGTTGGGCATTACTCACGTGGCGACAGTTCCTGGAAGGCAACAAAATCCCCTTCCAGGTATGGACTGATCACAAAAATTTAGAAGCCCTGAAAACTTCCAGGAAACTCAATCCCAACCAAGCCCGCTGGTCCCAGCATTTTCACCAATTCCAATTTAAGCTCAAACATTTACCAGGAAGAAAGAACTTCCTGGCAGATGCACTATCTCGCATGCCCCAATATAACAGCGCACGAACCACAGACTCTAGACCAATAATGGCAGAATCACAACTGGCAGCGCCAGTAACCACAAGAACCCAAGCCAAAATAAAACCACAACTGGACAGCCAAACTGGGATTGAATTCAGAAAAAGTTTGGAAACAGATGATTGGTTCCAGAAAAACAAACATGTGTGCACAATGAGAGACGGATTGCCTTGGGTAGGGGAAAAGTTATATATACCAACAACTCAAAGACTAACTTTCATGCAACTTTGCCATGACACAAAATCAGCAGGGCATTTTGGATTTGTAAAAACTTTACACTTAATTAAACGGCAATTTTGGTGGCCATCAATAAAAAAGGACATAGAAAGTTATGTTGCCAGCTGCCCAACCTGTGCATCAGCAAAGAGGTTTGCAAGGGAAATCGCCAGGGCTGTTACAACCAGTGGCAAGTCCCTCAGCCCCCTGGAGGGAAATAGCCATGGATTTTATAGTGGAATTGCCTGAAAGCAATTGGAATACTGTTATCTGGACAGTCACGGACCTATTTTCCAAACAGGTGCACTTTATCCCTTGCCAAAAAATTCCCACTGCAAAGGCCTTAGCAAAACTTTTTATCCAGCACATTTACAGATTGCCCGGGGCACCCCAACGCATCATCTCTGATAGGGGAGTGCAATTTACGTCTACATTTTGGAAGGAATTTTTATCCCTCTTAGGGACCACTCAGGGACTGACATCTAGCCATCACCCTCAGACAGTTGGACAAGCGGAACGCTGCCAGTCGGTACTTGAGCAATATTTGAGATGTTTTTTAAATTTCCAACAGAGTGATTGGACGGACTTACTTCCTTTTGCAGAAGTTGCCTACAATAATGCAGTCCACTCCAGCACAGGCTACACTCCTTTTCAAAGAGCCAACGGCCAAAGTTTCAACCCTATGCCAGAGTTAACCCCAAAAGAACCAACGATCCCTTCACTGAAAGAATGGATGGAAAACCTACAAAACACCGGGCCAATAGTCAGAAAATCACTAGATGAAGCTAGGCGGGCATACAAAGCACAAGCCGATAAAAAAAAGGGTTGAGCCTACACCATTCATTATAGGAGAAATGGTGTACTTATCTACAAAATACCTAAAGTCCCTACAGCCCTGTAAAAAACTTGGACCAAAATATATAGGACCTTTTCCAATTAAAAGGATCATAAATCCAGTAACAGTAGAATTAGAATTACCCAAAAACCTCAGGCAAATACACCCAGTTTTTCATTGCAGCTTGCTGAAAAGAGAGCATCAGTCACCTCTACGGCCAAAAATCCCCCCCCCACCACCTCCAATCATGGTGGAGGGGGAACAACACTTCGAAATAAAAGAGATCCTTGACTCTAGGAGATATCGTGGAACAACTCAGTACCTAGTTGCCTGGAAACACCTCCCTGCCTCACAAAATGAGTGGGTCCATAAACGTCACGTCAGAGCCCCGAAGCTATTGAAGAAGTTTCACACAGAGTATCCTAACAAGCCTAACTAAATTTTTTACTTGTGTTTTCTTTCAGGTGGATCTCTCTTATTGTTAAGAGGGGCCGGATGTCAGAATCCAATTATATTTCATCTTTAATTATCAAACATAGAAACTCCCAATTCTGCCTTCTCTGGATTCTGCCATAAGAGGGAGAAAAGGGGGAGAGCAAAGGGGCTTTATGGCCCTCACTTCCTTCAGCACACTTCAAAGGACTGAATGTGTGTTTATTGTGGCCTCTAAGCTTTAACATATCAAAGAAGAGTAATTGCCTTTCATGTAGTTATCTGAAGTCTCCATCCAGACGGAAGAAGAAAGGGGATGGAATTGTGATACTTGAAACTATCACTGGAAGGGGGGTTGATTGGGTGGGACTACTGGGGAAACCCTTAAAACCTTGAATGGGAGAGCTTGAACCCCAAGTCCTGTCTAGCATGCCTGCAACCATTTTCTCTTAATAAAGGATTCCTGTTGGAAGAGCTATTCCAAGAGTTCTGTCTTCTTAAGATGCAAAGTGGGGTGGGTCCTTACATTAAGCTTGCATGCCCTCTTGATACTTTCATAGTTTACATTCCAGAATGTAAGCTGCAGATGTAAATGTAAATGTAAATTCTGGGGGCTGCCAAGCATTAAGAAGGGAACTCAGCTTTCTTCCTTCAAAAAGGGATGATGACTTTTTCCCATAACATGTTTGTAGCTTTTCATTTTTAAATCCCCTTTCAGATGAATCTTGGTCTTTTCTGGGAAAACTTGATCCTCTTCCATGACATCTTTGAGACGCAGTCTATCCATAGAGGCAGACACTCTTACTTACTTGGTCCATTGTTCAAAACTACCCTCCCTTATGCCAAATGAGGAAGTATTTTGCTCCATTCTGCATTATAATGTAAGTTAAATTTAAGCGCTCTCCTCCTACAATTGTAGTATTTATTTCCTTCTAGTTCCCTCTAGTGTCCAACTTTCAAAGTCCCATCCTGTCATGCTTTTTTAAAAAAAGAAAAGAAAAGAAATCAAAATGAAAGTATTTGCCCATTGGAACGGATTCTTATAATTAGCATGAAAATCTTATTTCAAATTTCGGGGACTCTTAGTTCATTTGCAGTTTTCTAAAATCGGAGTTATAATTTCCTTTTTGCTGCTGATTCCAGTTTTTGTTTTTTTTTAAAGGCCCTTAAATTGTTTTCACTAAGAATTGAAGGAAATTTCAAAAAGTGATTAGAAAAGAAAGTATGCAGACTTATTGTCCTTGCAAGGACGCAGACCGCAATCTGAGCAAGAGGGCCATTCCCTCGTCTCCCGGAGGTCTAAACCTGCCAAAGATGCTGACTTGATGTCTTTTGAGAGGAGCACCTGTACGGAGCATTCATGGGTCATCTCAAGGCTGCTCACTGTCCTTTTGTTCTGCTGCAGTCTCTGGATCTGTTTTAAGCACAGCTATCTTCAGTTTGTTTGTTTTTTTTATTTTTTATTATTATTTTTAACCAACAAAACAAAGCAAAACATAACACACATACACACACAGTATATACTCCTCTCCCCTTTTTTTTACAGCAATTACACAACGGTAATCTTCTATTATTTACATTTCCCCCCTTATTCTTCTTTAGAATATTTGTCCTTGTTGCCCCGTTGTTTCTTATTTACATTTTTCTTCCTTTATATTCTACTTCTTACTAAGAATAATTCATATTATTATTATTATACATTATTATACACATATTTTCATTTTTGACCTTTTCATATTTATTCTCCTCTATTATTTCTGGTCTCTAACCAGTCATACCACTTGTTCCATGTTAGATAGTACTCTGTGTCTTCCTTTTCTTTTATCTCTTTTGTTAATTTGTCCATCTCAGCACAGTCCAGGATTTTCCTCATCACTTCTTCCTCTGTATCTTCAGTTTGTTATTTCTCCTCTGAAAACCCTTTTGAACTCTTTTCCTTTTCATGAAAGTTGGCATCTGGGCAAAGAGAGTGGAAACTCCATGCTCTACATAAAAAGGCTTCTTTTTCACCACTGGAATAAATAAACACGTGAGCACCATTACTCTAGGATTTGCAGAGTTGCTGCTATTAACAACTATTATTTAACCAAGGTAGATTAGCTCTGATTGACTCTCATGAAATAGGGGGTACCTTTTACTGTAATGATAGCAATAGCACTTAGAGTTATGTACCACTTCACAGTGCTTTACAGCCCTCTCTAAGTGGTTTACAGAGTCAGCATATTGTTCCCTATAATCTGGGTCCTCATTTTACCGACCTGGGAAGGAGGGAAGGCTGAGTCAACCTTGAGCTGGTGAGAAACGAACTGCCAAATTGCAGGCAGCTGGCAGTCAGCAAAATTAGCCTGCAGTTCTTTATTCTAACCACTGCGCCACCATTGGCTCACGATGATGTAGAACAGGGATGTCAAACTACTGGCCCATGGGCTGGATGCGTCATCCAGAAGCCATGCCCACCCCATTGCCAGCAATGGCAAAACCATCCCGAATCATTGCGCGACATCACGTGACGTCGCAGGTTTGACATGTCTGATGTAGAAGAATTATAAATGTACATGTCTGGTATACGTAGGCCTTGTATAGCAGTGATGGTTGGTTAATCTTTTGTTGTGGTTGTTTTTAAATGTTTATTTTTATATCTTTTTTGTATGAAGTTAATAAAAGCAAAAAATAAAAGCACCAAATTAGTAATGGCAAAAGCAATCATCTACTTTTTCAGTCTCTCATTCTCTCTCTCTCTCTCTCTCTCTCTCTCTCTCTCTCTCCCTCCCTCCCTCCCTCCCTCCCTCTCTCTCTCTCTCTCTCTCCCTGTGTGTGTGGGGGGGTGTCTCTTCTGTCTCTATTTCTCTCCCCCTCCTTCCCTCCCAACTTATAAAGTAACCGTGAAATGAGATGGGTAATCCAAGGGAGTCATTTGAGGTCAACCTCAAGGCAAGAGATTACAATAATATTGGACTTCCATCCCACCGTCTGCCAGGAGAGGCCATGTGATGACGGCACCTGACTCAGAAACAGTCCAGTAAGCACAGCCTAATCTGCCTTGGCATCCCACCGCAGAGAAGCCAACAGGATATGGCATAATGTTGCACAGAATAAGAGAAGCCAGATGAAAACCTGGAGCAAGCATGACACCACCAAGCAGTCTAAGAATAGATGCCCACAAGCGTGAACGTAAGATCTTTAACAGCCCAAATCAGGCATAGACAGACAGACAGACAGACAGACAGACAGATAAAAAAGACTGTTTCTCATAAATGAAGGATGATACATGACCCAGGATAATGCAAATGCGTTTTGTAGCAGCTGATGAGAGAGAAGTTCCATTTACAGGAAAGGAGGGAAATCGGACCAGAATAGCAGTAGGAAGAGGATCCGCATCAGGCAGTGGGCGTAGGGCTTCTACCACTTTAAATTAGGGCAATCTATCCAATTTTATTCCTTCTGAATTCCTCAGCTCCCTGATCCACATCTTGTTCTTCCCAGTGTTAATAAAATTGACCCAAAAGTTTTGCGAAGGCACTTGCACGATCTACGCAGGTTTTTTTTTTAATCTACGCATTTTCCATGCACATTTTTCAAAGCATCCGTTCTTTTCTTTCTTTCTTTCTTTTTTTTTTTTTTTTGCAAATGTCTTTTGCTGTTGCTGGAAGATAACCAGAGTCTGAAAAAAGGGCAGATCTGGATATGTGCATATTCTTTTTGAATATATATATATATATATATATATATATATATATATATATATATATATATATATATATATATGTTTTCTGAGGTTTTCGCGGGTATGTGTATATAGGTCTGTGGTTGTTCGGGTTTTCTCCCGCGTAAAATTGGAAGTGTCTTGGCAACGTTTCGACGAAGTCACATTCGTCATCTTGCTGGTGCTTTATGTGTGGTTTTAGCTGTTTCTTCCTTTTAACTGCCAGTGAGGGTATGAACTGATTGGATGGGAGCTTGGCTGTGTTCTGATTGGGTGGAGGTGTGTTCTGAATGGTTAGGGGCTTGGCTGTGCTCTGATTGGCTGGGGGAGTGTTCTGTTTGGTTGTGCTCAGGTTAGTCTGAGTTGCAGAGGGGTTTAAGATTTTGGGGTTAGGGAGTCGTTTGTCAATAAGGGCAGGTTTCCAAATGGCTGGTAGGCGGGAGGTATCATCTCGCTTGTTCATGCTGTGTGGGCGTTTTTCTATCTCGATGGCTTCTCTGATTATTCTGTTATTAAAATGTTCACTTTTGGCAATGGTTCTGGTATTTTTAAAGTCAATTTCATGTCCTGTGGCTTTAAGGTGTTGGACCAGGGAAGATGTTGGTTCCTCTTTTTTGACTGAGTTCTTATGTTCTTCAATGCGTGCACTTATTCTTCTGTTGGTTTGTCCGATGTATGTGGTGGGACAAGTGGTGCATGGGATTTCGTATACTCCTTGATTTTCTAATTCAATTTTATCTTTGGGGTTTCTAAGGATGGTGGATATTTTTCTGTTTGTGCAGAATGCTGTTTTGATGTTGTGTTTATGGAGGATCTTACTGATTCTGTCTGTGGTGCCTTTTATGTATGGGAGGAGGGCTTTGCCGTTTTCTTGTTCTTTGTCTTGGATTTTAGTGGGGGTTTCTTTTTGGATTAGGTTTGTAATCTTATTTCTATGGAATCCATTGGATGTTAGTACATTGGTGAGAGTGTGTAGTTCGGGTTTTAGGTGTTGTTCGTCAGCTAAGCGTTTTGTTCTGGAGATGAGTGTCTTGGCTACAGAGTTGATCTGTGCTGGGTGGTGGTGTGAGAGAGCGTGCAGATAGCGGTTTGTGTGTGTTTTCTTCTGGTAGATGGTGTGTCCTAGGGAGCCATTGGATTTCTTGTAGACTAAGACATCCAGGAAGGGAAGTTGGTTGTTAGCTTCTGTTTCCATGGTGAACTGTATTTTGGGGTGTAGGCTGTTGAGGTGTGTGAGGAAGTTGTCCAGTTTTTCTTTCCCATGTGGCCAGATTATGAAGGTGTCGTCTACGTATCTGAGCCAGAGTTTGGGTTTGTGATCCGATTTTTCTAGAGCTTGGGTTTCAAAGTGTTCCATGTAGAGGTTGGCAATGACAGGTGAGAGGGGTGATCCCATGGGTGCTCCTTCTGTTTGTTTGTATTTTTGTCCATTATAGATGAAGTATGTGTTGGATAGGCAGTGGTTGGTCAGATCTAAGATGTGTTTGGGGGGGTTATATTTGTTTTGAATAGCTGTCAAGGCTTCTTTGATAGGCACTTGGGTGAAGAGGGATATGACATCGAAGCTCACTAGTAGGTCGCTGGGCTGTAAGTTTTGTTTCTTTATGATCTCTATAAACTGGAATGAGTTTTTTACGTGTGAGGTGATGGATTCTGCATAGGGCTGTAGTTGTTTGGCGAGAAATTTGGCTAGGTTTTGTAGAGGTGAGCCTATGGAGCTGACTATAGGTCTGAGTGGGGTTCCTTCTTTGTGTATCTTGGGGAGACCATAGAGTTTAGGGCATCTGGATGATTTCTCTCTGGGAATGATTCTTTGCTGGATCTCTTCGCTAATGGGGGAGGCTTTTATCTTGGTTCTGGTGGTTTTTTCCAGGTAGGTGGTGGGATCTGTATTTAGGGGTTTGTATGTGGAGTCTTGGAGTAGGTTGGTTAATTTGGTTTGGTAGTCAGATGTGTTCATAACCACCGTGGCGTTGCCCTTGTCTGCTGGTAGGATTATTATGCTGGTGTCTTCTTTCAGGTTACGTAGTGCTGTCTGTTCCTCTTTGGGTAAGTTGCTTTTGGGTGGCTTGCTGGTGCAGAGGATGTTGGTGATTTTGAGTCTGATTTTGTTAGCGTCATCGGGGTTGATTTTGGTCAGGCTGGTTTCAACTCCACATATAATGGTTTCAGTGGGGATGTGTTTGGGAGCGACTGCAAAGTTGAATCCTTTGGAAAGGACATTGGTTTCGGCTTTGGTGAGGATCCTATCTGAGATGTTATGCACTGTTTGTTTCATGTGTGGCTGTGAGGGAGGAGGGGTTTGTTTCTGGCGTTCTTGTAGTCTTCGGAGTTTGTTGGTGTGTGTATCTGTCTTGAGGGTGGTCTGTGTTTCAGCTCTCCAGACGGCGAGTTGTTTGGATTTGTCCCAAAGTGCGGGGTGGATCTTGTTGCTGAGTTTGAGGTGGAGTGTGAGGAGATCTTTGTTAATTCGGTCTAGGAGGAATCTTTTTGTGTGAAGTTCATTTCTGATTAGGGCCAATTCTGTTCTTTTCAGGATCCGTTTGGTGGCTGCAGAGTTGGAGTGGAATTTCAGTTGGAAACATGTGGGGATTAGATTTTGATCTCGGCAGTTACGTAGGAATGCGAGGTCACATAAAATGGAAGCTCTTTGGACTTCAAGTTTTTCATAGGTCCTGGTCAGATGGTGGATTTCCTCCCCGTAGAGGTTCGATATTTGTTTTCTGAGGTTTTCGCGGGTATTTGTATATAGGTCTTTGGTTGTTCGGGTTTTCTCCCGCGTAAAATTGGAAGTGTCTTGGCAACGTTTCGACGAAGTCACATTCGTCATCTTCAGGCTGGTGTTTTTAGCTTCTTGCTTTGAGCAGCAATGTGTGGTTTAGCTGTTTCTTCCTTTTAACTGCCAGTGAGGGTATGAACTGATTGGATGGGAGCTTGGCTGTGTTCTGATTGGGTGGAGGTGTGTTCTGAATGGTTAGGGGCTTGGCTGTGCTCTGATTGGCTGGGGGAGTGTTCTGTTTGGTTGTGCTCAGGTTATCTGAGTTGCAGAGGGGTTTAAGATTTTGGGGTTAGGGAGTCGTTTGTCAATAAGGGCAGGTTTCCAAATGGATGGTAGGCGGGAGGTATCATCTCGTTTGTTCATGCTGTGTGGGCGTTTTTCTATCTCGATGGCTTCTCTGATTATTCTGTTATTAAAATGTTCACTTTTGGCAATGGTTCTGGTATTTTTAAAGTCAATTTCGTGTCCTGTGGCTTTAAGGTGTTGGACCAGGGAAGATGTTGGTTCCTCTTTTTTGACTGAGTTCTTATGTTCTTCAATGCGTGCACTTATTCTTCTGTTGGTTTGTCCGATGTATGTGGTGGGACAAGTGGTGCATGGGATTTCGTATACTCCTTGATTTTCTAATTCAATTTTATCTTTGGGGTTTCTAAGGATGGTGGATATTTTTCTGTTTGTGCAGAATGCTGTTTTGATGTTGTGTTTATGGAGGATCTTACTGATTCTGTCTGTGGTGCCTTTTATGTATGGGAGGAGGGCTTTGCCGTTTTCTTGTTCTTTGTCTTGGATTTTGGTGGGGGTTTCTTTTTGGATTAGGTTTGTAATCTTATTTCTATGGAATCCATTGGATGTTAGTACATTGGTGAGAGTGTGTAGTTCGGGTTTTAGGTGTTGTTCGTCAGCTAAGCATTTTGTTCTGGAGATGAGTGTCTTGGCTACAGAGTTGATCTGTGCTGGGTGGTGGTGTGAGAGAGCGTGCAGATAGCGGTTTGTGTGTGTTTTCTTCTGGTAGATGGTGTGTCCTAGGGAGCCATTGGATTTCTTGTAGACTAAGACATCCAGGAAGGGAAGTTGGTTGTTAGCTTCTGTTTCCATGGTGAACTGTATTTTGGGGTGTAGGCTGTTGAGGTGTGTGAGGAAGTTGTCCAGTTTTTCTTTCCCATGTGGCCAGATTATGAAGGTGTCGTCTACATATCTGAGCCAGAGTTTGGGTTTGTGATCCGATTTTTCTAGAGCTTGGGTTTCAAAGTGTTCCATGTAGAGGTTGGCAATGACAGGTGAGAGGGGTGATCCCATGGGTGCTCCTTCTGTTTGTTTGTATTTTTGTCCATTATAGATGAAGTATGTGTTGGATAGGCAGTGGTTGGTCAGATCTAAGATGTGTTTGGGGGGGTTATATACATTCCAATTTTACGCGGGAGAAAACCCGAACAACCAAAGACCTATATATATATATATATATATGCAGCCTCCAATCATTTGCGCTCAGCTCTTAGATCGTGTCATAGGTCCCAGCTGTGTGCATTGTGATCCAAGTGTGTATCCTGCATTGGGGTGTGGTTGTTTCTCGCCCCTTCTACGTATGCTGTTACGTGTGTCTTTCTCGCTAGTTCTAAAACTAGCTGGGGTATTTCCCCTTTCCTTGCAGTTAGTGCATTTATTGATTTATATATATATATA